CTACGACACCCTCAGCGATAACGCTAGAACATTCGACGGCAAGAGTATAAATGCCGACGCGCTTCGCCGCTGGTCAGTTGTTGATCGAAGGCCGACGCTCCGTTCTCCGCTATCAGTCCAAGACTGATATCTGTGCGAGACTGCTGCTGTAATTGGACTTTCCGTTTACCGGGCACAGGTTCGCCCAAATAAACAGTTAAATCCCAACACGAAGTCTCCTGTCTTCGGCCACGTCACGACCCCGTGACAATATTTTGTTTTCCACAGGCGCGCATTTCAGTTGATAGCGCGCCTGTGTTACATTTTTCTCCTTTTTGGTGGCAGCAGCGAGGCCCGCCATTTCTCATTGTTCGCAGCAAAATCAAAATCAGGTACTGCGGAAAAACGTAGCCCTTGGAACTGCAAACTAGCCGGCACAACAAATGATCAGCCCTCATTACTTCGAATAATTGCAAGTTCCTTGTTTCCCCCTTTTTTTTATGCTCTATTAATTTGAAAACCCACTTAATTCAAAGATTTCTCAGAGCTCCAGTGACTTCAAATTAACAAGGTTCTACTGTATGTGGCGAGTTGCAGTCTCCTCTTGACGTCAGACCTGTTTTCACACGTCACTGCAGAGCCGGCCCCTCGACACCAAAACCAGATGCATTCCCCAGCTTTACAACAATCTTTTCATAATTATTGACACCAGTGTTTCCATTTAGAGCAGAAAACTTTTTTTTTAATTCATATTAGTACCCCTTTAAGCAGCCCATAACAGGTTCTCACTGTCTCACAGCTAACTTGTTGAGAGATGCACTAAATCTCTGCCATATTTTTCACAGTGCTTACACTCAAACCTCTTTGTATGTGCACCTGCATGCCAATGGCTAAGCAAAAGCTTTCAGCACTTGCATCGAGAATGAAGGATCATGTGCTTCAAGAGGCACGCGAAAGGAATGTCAAGCTGTTCCTGTCCCTTTCATAGTTTTCTGGGTGCCATTCTTTTGGCGTAACTGAATGTACCATGCAAACACAATTACCATATTCACTCACGTAATGAACCACTCACATAATAAACGCATTCCCAACTTCAGTCATCAAAATTTAGATTTTTTTTTTTTCGGGGTAATAAACGCACCACCTACATCCATCCGCTGCAGTACCGCTAACCGACACCTGGCGCCTCCTCAGCTATTGGATCTCCTCATTCGTTTATTACTTTGCCAATCCGCCTCAACTACTGCGGCTCGTTCCCCCCCCCCCCCCCCCCCTTTGCCTGTTGCCGCATTGCTCTTCTTTCTATCTGTAATAAACGCACCCCCTACATTCATATGCTGCAGTCCCGCTAATCCGACACTTGGCGCCTCCTAACTCGTTGGATTTCTTCCCCTTTTATTACTTTGCCGACCCCCCTGAACCACCTAGGCTTGCTCCTTCAACCCCTTTGCCCCCTGCCATGTGCCTATTGCTTTTCTTTCAATCTGTGCGCTGGCATGTCCCGTCTTATCTTTGAGCCACAGCTGGGTTGGTTCACGAGCTGTACGAGTGTAGAGACATCCCAGCTGATAAGCACACAGCAGCAAAGGTCACCAAACTGCCCGCGCCAACTGACCTCAGTCTCGCTTCCTGCGAACCGCTCCTCCTCCTCCCCTTCCTTTTTTATCCTACTTTCTTTTTTCTTCACTCTAACTATCCCTTCATTCATGAGTGTATCGGGTGAGGTGTCCTCGCATGAGGCACAGTTATCATGCACTCCACACCCATTTTTCTTACCTTTTCTTAAAAAAATCACCCCCCCCCCCCACCCCAAAAAAAAAACAAAGCCCATCTACGTGCACACGATTTTCAACCGACGACGGCATAATTTGCTGTTGCGAAGGGTAATTCGTTGCTATCAAATCGCATGTTTCTGAAAACTAAAAAAAATCACTTGTCGCACAGAGAAGATCGTGACGATTTCCACAACATGGTAGCACCCCGATTCTCGCTTCGCTTGTTATCCACAAGTAGAGGCACTTCTCCACGCACCCCCCAACTTTACTTCGATTTTTCAAAAAAAAAAAAGTGCGCTAACTTTGTGAGTAAATAAGGTATCTCACACGTGCCTTTGTTTCTTTATGGCGAGGGTATCGTCTGGCAGACTTGATGCCTTGTTGTAGTATGCAAGGGCTCAGTGATCAGCTGCCAGTTCAGTTCTACCGTTTCAGTGCTTGCCCTGTGCAGGATGTCCTTCAATTGTTAAGATTCCTTTACCTTCCACTTTAGTACTAAAACAAATGTCATTTGTTATACCCATGGCTTCGCATCCATGAGCACTTAGCAAATCTTGAATGAAAGCTCCTCAAAACACTTTCAAGTTTTTCTATTAAACAATTATGTCATGGAAGAATCAGTCTCAAAAACAGCCCAAAGGGCTGCACAACCATTGCAATGTTCCGGAATAGGTCCCTTTTGCAAGAGAAAACTGGTCCTTTAGACAGACATTTTCACAAGCTGCGCACTGTGGTGCGAGTGGCCTGCAGTTAATGCTTTAGTGTAGTGCCTCAACTGTTCTCACGCACCTCTTGAGCACTGGCAACCCCTCCACTTAAGGGTGAGATACAAAAGGAAGGGAAAACAGGCTTCTCTGCAACAAATATTGGCTGTTTATCTGATGGAAAGCTCATTACCACAAGCTAAAGGAATGTTTGGCTTGGTTTTGCAAAGACTATGCACAAACAGTTTCATTGAAAGTGCAGTTTCATTGCATATCTGATGGCAAAACCACCCAAAGTTGAAATTAAGTTCTGGCTTTGCAGTTCTGCATGAGTCTACAGCGAGAAATTTGAAGAGTTAACCTCATCTTACCATCGAAACAATACTTGCTCAATTCACTCTTTCCTTCACTATGCTCTGTTAATTGGCTTGTGCCTCTAGCTGTTCAAGTGCTCCTCCTCGCCATGCAAGAAAAAGAGCAGAGAGAGGGTGCACCTGAAAGTCAACAAAAAGGTTCTACCCACGCAACAGTGTCTGTCACTCGTGACATAAACTAATCAGACAAGTGACGTCACAACACGCCACTGGGGATAGCAAAAAGGCACAAAGAGGAGCACACGAAATTCTGCTCGTGGCTTACATTCACTTTAGCTTAAGCAGTATCACAGCAGCTCAATGTCGTTGCAATGTGACAAATAACTTTGACAGAGATGGCACTGCAGATCTTTCACTCTAAAATTTTTTTGGCAGGTAGATACACCACAGAAGAGTGAAAATCAGCTGGATCAATGAATGCCTGCTGTCTCGCTCATTGAATGCATTTCTACTTTGTAGGCATCACACACTTTGTGAAGGCCACATGAACCAATATCCAAACACTGAACTTGCAAGTCCATTTTTTTCATGCGCTGCAACTTATGGGAAAGACGTTAGGACCATTCATGGAAAGCTACAAAATCTTGTTCGGCATAAAAGGAAGCGAAAGCTTCTGTCAAATTCTGCATGCAGTATGTAGCTGAGTGGGCTAGTTGGGTGCTCTTACTAAACATGCCAAAAATGTCCGCAATGGTAAGGAAGGTTTTCTGGCACTGCATATCAGCACGTAAGGGTCTATCCCACATGTATCTCAGCTTACCCCAGGGAGTGGTGAATAAGATCAAGAAAATGCTACTGCATATAATCTTTAATAGAGCTCAAAGAGTCAGTGAGAGGAGTGGCTGCATGACTACGCAATTAGTCATGACCATCTAGCAAATATCTCAGTTTCGTGGAATGAGCTAGAGGTGTGTGAATATTCTAATGCTCCGAATATCGGTCACATACTCAATGCCTAACATTTGTATTCAATTCAGAAACTGTGCATCCAAAAAGCATCCTAAAGAAACTAATTCACGAACTGCCTGCTCGACAGTTCATAGGGTTTATTAGTTTAATGCTGCTATTACTCGTGTAAATACTGCCTACACTTACGAGTAGGTGACAAGCAAAACATAGCATTCACTGCTGCACTTTCGTACAGGATCATTTCAATTAGGCGCATGTCATTTGCAGAAATGAAAGAAATTTTCCATCACCGTATTCACCCGACAAAATACTTATTGCATCTTTGCTACATCCAGTGTAAACATGAAAAGATACACCGATAGGGTTGCAAAGTTGGGCTACAGCTGAGCCCCTTCATAAGAGACACTGGTGTAACAGACAACTGGGTATACGAGACACCAGTGTGGCTACATTAAAATAGGGGTTGATGTGAGAACACATACGAAGTACCCTGCATATAACAGACACCTCATATAAAAGACAAGAATTACTTCCCAGTACATGTCTCTTACAAAGAAAATTCAACTGTATAAATAGATTAATTGGACCAATTTTCTGTAAAGTAGGCAGGATTTTAGGGGCGAAGCTCCTTTTAGTCTAACCTTGTCACTAGTCAAGCGTAACCGAGAGAAGAAGAGACGGAAAAGAAAAGAAGGCAAAAAAAATAGATGACCGTTTTCTGTCTCATTTCCTAGATGGTGTTACTCTGCCGCTACTTTTCGAAGTGCTGCTACTCTCCGATTAGCTGCTGCGCGTGCTTTGCCTGAAGAGCGGAGAATGAGTGCCTCTTTCAGTCTCCTGGATAGTCGCCGTACGTGGTGGATCGTTGGTGGGGCATGGATGAAAGCAGAGCGGCGGGCGGGCTCCTTGGCTCGTGTCTGGTAAGTGTTATCCAAGCGCTGTTTACATTCTCGAACGTGATCGGATGCATGGACGCATGCACAGACGAACGGATACATGAACGGATGGACGCACAGATGCTTTGCCCCACTTGTCATCATTCACTCCATGGATATGCTGTGATTTCTTTTTTTTTTTCATTGCTGCCTATTTGGCTATATTTGGGTTATTACCTGTCTTCACTTCAAATGCTTGCTTTCCAGTGCCTTTTTTCTTCCTTAGCCATTGTTTGTCCTTGAGGTTATTGCATATCGATTGTTTACATATATGAGCTTGGCAAAAAAAATCGAGTATTTCAAAAGTATTTCTGCCCCAAAACTCTATTCACAGCCGCCATCTTGCTCACCAGGCAAATGGAGTTCAGCACAGAGCGGGGCAGCTGGCGTGCCCACAAGGGCAGTAATGCAATCGGTTGCTGCGATGCGTAGTGAGACTTCTTTGGCTTGCAGCATGATAGCCTTCAGAGAACCCAGCAGCTTCGAGACACAGTCTGCTTCATTAGACAGCAGGGAGGAGTTTGTGAAGGCCTTGGACAGCAACTGGCACAGCTTCTCTGCATAGAAATGCCATAGGTTGCAGTTACAATCATATTTCCAATCGTATCTGCAATGTACACTGCACCTTCTAGCCTGTTTGTAGGCTGCTGCACCTTTCACCATCACCTAGATTAGCAACACAGTGAATATTATTACAATATAGGATTTATATAGTATAACCAAAACTACGTTCACTCAGTTTATGCCTAGATGTGGCTCACCAGCTATGATGTTATACAGTTGTGGTCCAGCCAATTCAGGTTTTGAAAAAATTCGCGGAGACAGAAAACTACTCTTTAGGAGCAGATTTGAAGCAGAAAGAACTGCACTTTGGAACAATTTTCAGGGGTGGAGCAGAGTACATGGGTTTTTTAGCAGTCCTGGGAGCCGGCAAATGTGCTATCTTTAGCAGGCTTGAGCATCCAAAGAGACACTTTTGAGCAGGCTTGAAGCAGCTAGAAAGGCCTTTTCGAGCAAGTTTGGAGCAGTCGGAGAGAATTTTCAGAGCAGATGTAGCCCAGTTTCACAGGGCTTGTGAATCAGCATTTGTCTAAAACTACATTTTTCAACCACTAAGCTAAATTATGCAATGGCCTTATTACCAAGACAGCATTTACACGGACACCTTTCGAACGTTTTTTGCTGTGCCCATTGCCATTATATCCAGTGTAGAGTCCAAATTGCTAACATCCACCGGTGCATCGTACTACCCCCGGGTAAAAGCATGTGAGCAGGGGTGACAAACTCAGCTGAAGCACACATCAATAAACCGGCTCGTCTCTGTTGCTTGAAGGGGCCATGAGATAACACTGCAGTCCGGAGGCCTGCTGTCAAAGCAGAGGAAAGAGACCCCACTCCTTTCGAAAACACAAGAGGTGGAGGTACCACTCAAGCAGAAACTGCGAAATTTGCTTGTGGCTTGAATACACTTCTATATGCTGCACTCTCATCATGAAGGGACTAGTCCAAAAGGGTTGCCCTCGCTGAAGTGGCCATATTTTTTCACACCAGCTTCTTGTAGAGTTAAAAGAAAACAGATCCGAAAGAGTTAGCTTTAACTGACAGCCTCACTTCATATCAGAAGTATTCACGTGGCGTCATCTGCAAGGTGTGCTAGCACGGCACCCACCATACTTGTGGTCTCACACGCGAACATCATCGTCGAACCACAACCAAAGCTACTGGTAGCACATGCTATGTCGATATTTTTCTAAGAAAATCAGTTAGTATGTTGCAGTGACGCCAAACATCCCGCCGTCATATGCAGGATTGCTGACAGACCATGGCTATGGTGATGCCCTCGCTGGCTCCATGTGGTGGAAAGAGTTTGCTGAATATTCCCTAGAATGTTACAATTAGTTGCTATTTCCTTCACTGTTTTTGCCCTAGCACTGAAACTAACCTTTTTAGCTATAAACAGACGCCCATACTTTTTTAACCTCAATGCGAGAGCATCAACCCCTGAGTCGATAAGTGCCGTATAGTAGACCACAGTGGCGAAAATGAACAATACGTGCATGCGCTCAATAAGCAGTCCCGTGCACCTGTCTTTGCTAGGCTGTCCCGGGAGCCAGACGATACCCTCTTTTTTTGAACCCCATTACTGTCCTCCCCTCTCGTATTTCTTCATTTTTTTATCACTACCATCAAGTTATTAGATATCACAGTATCACTGCAAGAGAGAAGCATTAAATGCGATACTAACAAATTGTATTGTTTCATGAATATCGATTGATTGATATGTGGGGTTTGACGGGGAAGATGGCAACCGAAAAAAAAACTTTTTTGTTTGTTGACCTAGAGTAATGAACCTTAGTACGCATACTGACGAGTGTCTCGAATAGCTATATATAAAGTTTCACTGCAGTATCTCAAGTAGTTTTCAAGTTACACAAAGTTGCATAATGTGATGACATAGTCTGCTGGTTAAAAGCCTAGCATTGTAACGAAAAATTCCAGGAAGGTCCAGGTAGTTTTGATTTTTACTCAAAAGAACACTACATAGGATGGCATTATCGAAAATTGCCTATTCCTTTTAGTTTTTTTACAATAACATCCGCATCACCTTCATGTATTGTATCAGAGCTTCTCGTGCACTAATTATCATTTACAAAAAAAAGCTAGATTGTAAGCAAGGTAATGAATAATTCCATCCTGTCAACAAGCCTTCAAGGAATAAAAAAAACAGCATCAAAATCTGCCCAGTCACTGCCATGCTATGCTTTTCTCAAGAAACATTAAGCAACCAAAACACACTTCAAAGAAAACAACCTTCGAAGTTTTTATAACACTTCACCTTAATCAAAACGCACCATAACAGTAGTCTTTGGTGTCCATGCCTGCATGTGGCCTTTTGGACCTCTGCTTCTTCCCCTGGTGCATGTTTGATAATTTTTGAGCACAATGGCTGTCCTTTTCTGCAGCCCTCTGGCTTTGTCACACTCTTCAGGTGGTGCTGATAAGTCTTCTCGTGCAGTCCTCTCTGTGTGACACATTTATCACTGCCCAGAAGTCATTTATAGCAGTAGGTCCTTTTCCAAAGCTCTTGATTGCCTGCACTGAACTAACGTTTATATCAAAGACTCTCCCATCTTCTTTTCTCTTTGATGACCAGTGAGAGTTGGCTGTGCCCCAAGAACAACATATTAGCACCATTTTCACGGCAAGTGCAGGCCTTGTGTCCCAGTCCACAGCGAGGTCTTGCTCATGGCAAATTGTGCAGAGTATTTTCCTAATCATTGCGTTCAGAGTGGCCATCTAAAAAAGCACGCATTCTTTTTCTTCTGGCGCAGACACAATTTCCTGTTCCTGAGATGCGGCCAGTGCTAATTTCTGCTCAGTTGCCAACATCAGGCCGGGCGACTAGCGAACTGTTTTCAACTGCACCTCTGCCGTTTCTCCGGACAAAAAGCTTGGTTGAATATGCCCTTGAATCGTACGACACTCGCCGAGCAAAGCCTCGTTACCGATCCGTTCATTGATGGCGGCGGCCGACTCGCCTGTCATTTACGCATAGATCGTTTCACCGTCATGCCGAACAGCCCAACCCCGGTTAAGCGAGCATGCAGCCACACGTTGATGCATAATAAGATCAATAAGCATGCCTTCTGTTGATGATTCGGACACACACCTGCATCGCGCCACCTCTGCATTGTTCACTTGGTCAGGATAGCTTGTTGACGGTCAAGGATCCAGGATGACTTCGTTACCACTGACTTGACTGCCAACTTGCTGGGGGTTTCCGCGAATGCCGTGAAATAGGTGGTCGGTGCTTTCATTTTCTGAAAGCGAGCACAGTCGTGCGTTTCCTGTGAAACATGCGATCCATCGCCACAAACTATGTCTAACACTTCCGAAAAGCCTCCTCGGCACAAAGAACTGCATCAATCGTGCGTCCGGCAACTTTTGACTGTTCGAGCAGAAGGCACAGAAGAACTCGACGATCGGGGAGCTGCGCAGAACTATCGTCTTGTAAAGACGGTTTGCACGACAGTGCCGAGGCCGATCGCGAAAGACGAAGAAGTACACAGAGAATGTTTGCAACGAAGAAGTCGGAGCCGACAAAGAGGCTGCACTATGCGCGGGAGATGAGCACATGAGCAGCGCACCAGTCAATAGCAACCCCTCGTTTCCCTCACCCCGAAGGTGCGCGCGCTCAGTCCAATCGTAGCTCAGCATTTGAAAAGCGCAAAACTCTAGTACCCCGCGAGCTACCCATTCACAAGCCAGTTACGCCTCAACCACAGCATTGTTCTCGCCGCTGATGGCTGGAAAAAAAAAAAGAGCAAGAAATCGCAAATAAAACGTGACCGAGATGGCGGCGATCGGTTGAGCAGGAGAGAAACGGCATGCACGCAAAGTTTGCGCAATTTTGACGATTGCCCGCTCCTCAGGTGCTGCCTCGGCTAACTAAATAGTTTATTTGAGGTACTTTTAGTGCGAATTTAGCGCTGATATTTACAGAGGACATAGTTCATAGACTATGCTGACCAAATATACTGTTTCTTAAAAATGAACTTTTTTATATTTTTTTGGTATTCAAAAGCCTTGTCCCCCCTTAACATGCCAAAACCGCCATATGATTACGTGAGACGCTATAGCAAAGGGCAACGAAAATTTCGACCCCCTGAGGTTGCTTAACCTGCACTCAAATCTGAGCACACGGGCCTAAAGCATTCCCAACTCGATTGAAAATAATTTTATAATGTAGGGCTGGCAGCTAACTTCTGGATCCGATGTTGCGTTACTACAAAAAATGCCAGTATAAAAGAATACGTTGCAATAGGATAGAACGGTGGGCTAGTTGGTGTTCGAACTGGGAGCACGTTCCCGTGCTCCCAGCTTGCTGAATGAATAAAAGAATACGGCCACACCAGTGAGAGATGCCTTTTTCGCAGTTTCTTTGAGTTGAGAGCATAGCGTGTAGAAGGGTTTACGAGATATTTGTGCTGACACCTGCCGAAATACACTCACACCTCGTTATAACATAATGAAACATAATGAAATAATAGATATAATGAAGCCAATGAAATTCCCCTTGAAAGCTCCACTGAGAACCATGCATTTTAAACCTCGTTGTAACTGTAGTAGCCAACGTATGACGCGCCGTACTGACGTCACAGGCTACGTCATGTGCCTGTACTTATATTGGCATGCGAGCCGCTTGCTTATGACATTAAACCTTCGCCACCAACTGAGTCCAGCGTCGCCTTGCTCGCCGGCTACAACAGATGGCGACGAGGATGGGATAGGCTGCACCGAACGACGGGGGCGGATCCTGTGAGCAACGACAGCTGGAAGGCGAAAGGCAAGGTATGGCGAAGATGTGGGAATTGACGCCTTCATAGAAGAAGGAGACGAAGATTTCGCTTCGTATGTAGAACGGTTTGGGCACTATTGCAAAGTAGCCGGCGTACAAGACGAAGAACTTAAAAAGTCAGCCTTCATCTCTGCCATAGGAAAGAAAGCGTACAAGACGCTCAAAGACCTTCTTCTACCTGCAAAACCTGAAGAGAAG